TCACGCGAATGCCGTCTGGTGCCACCTTCCTCGATCTCCTTCATCCTACCCAGCGCGCCTGCCGCATGCATAGCTCAAGCCTGCGTTCGCGTCCCACCCCGTCGCGAGCTTGACGCCACAGGTCGTTCTCCCTGTGGCGGACCGCTCTGCTTGCTGCGCATCAAAGATGGACAGACCGCTCGTCAAATCCAACCTAAACAAAATGCCGACGGTGCTTCCTCCACAAGCCAGAGCCTGAAGCACCAACGCACCCGTCGCAAAGGACGACCAACCAGTTCGCAGCAGCGTTCCTTCTCCTCCACCTCCGCCAACTTCGGGTGCGCCTCAACGACCACGACCGACCTAAAGCGCATGCTTGAACTTCCCCATCTGCAAAGGGAAAGAAGCCCACAGGGCCGCAAAGTCCGGGAACAAGGACGGCATGACACATTCGCCGCCGCATGTGGCATCCACGTTGTCGAAGTTATGCCGTCCGTGCCAGACTCCGAACCCATGCTTGTTCCCAGACTGCATCATCAAGTGCCCTCCTGCATTCCCGCGCCGACTAGGCATGCAAACAATGCGCGCTCAAATTTTCTGCTGAAAAGTGCTGCGCTTGCTCTGAAGGAGTTGTTCCGTGTCGCCACGCCACCATGGGTTGCCCCGCGTTTGTGAAAGCTTCAGTTTGCTCGGATCATCCGCCTGGCCGATCTGCGATCTGGCATTCCGAACTGATTGGTTCTGATCTGCGATCCGGCCTTCCGATCTGATTGGTTCCGTTCCGGCCCCTCCCTTCCGTCAGGATCGCCCTCCGCTTCGTATCCGCTGAGGTCAAGCTTGCTGCTGGCGGCCACCGCCCCGCGTGCTGCCCGCACAGTGGCAGCGCGTCCAACGCGTGCCGACATGACCCAACATGCCCCCGGAATTGCGAGTCACCACTTTGCCCCGAGCCCTCGGCAACGCTTCGTCCCACCAGGCCCTGCAAACCGTGTGGCGGCGGCTGATTGCCGTGCGTCGTGCATTGCTCGTGCCGTTCCGCGCCAGGCCACGCTGGCTTTTGTTCTCCATGCTGGGCGTTTGCACAACCCGAGTCCTTTGCCCAGGCCAGTGCCGACCAATGCGAGACACCTTCATGCTCCAACCAAACTCCTACAGCGCTCTTTGTCTACAGTGTTCCAGTGGAATGCTGCCGTGCAATGCTGGAGAGTGCCGAGTGCGAGCGCCGCGCGACAACGGAGGCCGTCGTTACCGATGCCCCGCCCAGCCGCGATGCCTTTGTGTGCTGCGCGCGATTGTTTCGCTTGCGTGTCCGATCTTGGGAAGCCGCTGAAGACACATCCATGCAAATCTAGAAGGGCGATTTTCGTCTAGGACCGCCTATTTCCGATGCTCTGATCTTTCCCCGCGCGGCGCCACGGGCACTTTCGCGGGAAGCCTCTGAAGACACATCCATGCAAATCTAGAAGGGCGATTTTCGTCTAGGACCGCCCATTTCCGATGCTCCGATCTTTCCCCGCGCGGCTCCGCGGGCACCTCCGCGCACCGTCGATGCGCGTGGCGCCGTGTGCGCCTCGAGGCATTGATCTCGCACTGCGCGCCACGGCGCGCGCCCAGGCGCCCCCTGGCGACCTCCAGCGAGAAACTCCCGAGATCCCGAAGACGAAATCCCGAGATCCCGAAGACGAAATCCCGAGATCCCGAAGACGAAATCCCGAGATTCCGCGAGAAACTCCCGAGATCCCGAAATCCAGCGTATCGCGCTGGGCCCCGGCGCTCCCCAGATACGATCGGGGAACCGGTCAGATCTGACGGGGGGAGCTTTGGCATGGCCCTGGCCCCCTACCGGATCATGACATGCTGGCCGCCGAGTTCACATGAGCTGGCCGGCGGTCCTGCTGCGGCGCTGGCAGGCTAGCGTGGTGCTCACAGAGGCGCCTGGCCGCCGAGGCATGCAGGATGAGGAGGAGGAGGAGGAGGAGGAGGAGGAGGAGGAGGAGCAGGAGGAGGAGAGGCATACCTCGGTGCCCTAGCGCATGCTGCGACGCTCGCAGGCTAACGCAGCGCCCGCAGGCCCGCGGTGCTCGCAGGCGCCCTGCGGCACGCTTGCACGGCGCGTCGCTCGCCGGGTGCCGCGGTGCTCGCGGGCGTCTCGTGGTTCATAACCGCTGTAGCTTTGTATGCGCAGCCAGATGGCGCCACAGCGGGGGGCCCGCAGACCGGGCGGGTCGCTCGCGGGGTGCCGCGGTGCTCGCAGGCGTCTCGAAGTGCAGAGCCGCTGTAGCTTCGTATGCGCAGCCAGGTGGCGCCACAGCGGGGGGCCCGCAGACCAGGCCGGTTTGGCCTTGCGCATCGCTGCCCTGTCACCTGGCGGCATCTTTTCACTGGTGTATTGGTCGGGGCCGGCGTGCGTGGACCCGTTGGCCGCGCGTAGAAGAATGTGTTCTCAGTCATTCATCCCTTTTCCCCTTTCCACCCTGCAGGGGCAGTGAGAGGAGGAGGGTGAGCAGGGGGGGGGGGTGAG